CCAGGAGTTCAGTTCAGTGTTTAGCTGTGGGTGTCTGCCTCTGCTTCCTTCTGTCACTGAATGGAGGTTCTAGGATGGTATGTAAGACCGTCATCAAAATCTTTATTAGGGAGGGGGATTTAATGTAGTCTATCCACTACTGCTTAGTTTGCCAGTTGGTGTCATCCTTGTAGATCTCTGGAGATCTCACTAGTGCCAGATCTCCCCTCAAACCTAGAATGGCTCTCTCTATTATGGTATCTCCTTTCCTGCTCTCCTCTATTCTTCCCCCAACTCAACCTTCCTGCTCCCTCATGTCCTCCTCTCCCTTCCTCTTCTCTCCCTCTCTTTTTCCTGACTCTGTTTGAGCTTTGAAGGAACTCTCTGCAGGGCCAATTGGGTCTGAGAATTCGGTAATGATGAGTTGAAGGCATCTTGGTTCTGTTTCATGAACTCAAAGCCATTGCCCACATAAAGGGTTAGCTTTGAGATGAGTTGCCAATGTCCATGACAGGCAAGAACATTTTAGCTTCAGTGACACTCTCTCGGTGCACTGGATGACACCATCCTGAAACAGCACGTGGATGCTTTGGTACCTCAAGCACTGGTGGTGCTGCAGTAACAGGGCCTGGTTATGGATTGTGTGTTGCGGATGGTGGCAAACCTGGGCACAACTGGGCCCTTGGCCAGGGTCCATCACAGGCATCATGGGCCTGGGATTGCAGGCTGTATGGAGCCTCAGCACAATGGGGCCCTCCAATACAATCTCAATGGATTACTTATTCCTATGTGAAATGTCACAGACATAGTCTTGACATATTGACAGTTCTATGGGCTTTCTGGCCATCGGTGTTTCTACCAGCATTGCCTATCAGACATAGTCTTGACATATTGACAGTTCTATGGGCTTTCTGGCCATCGGTGTTTCTACCAGCATCGCCTATTAGGCTCTCGTTATATCATTCTAGGGTTTCTCTAGTGTGCATCTCCAATCCTACCCAAAACTACTTCAAAAGGTTTCTGAGACATATTTTCAGCTTATCTTACTTCTTGGTGCCAATTTTGCATATGTATCTGTGTGCATGAGTGCATATGAGTGTGGATGTACATGATGCATGCATGTGTGTGTTTGTATGTTGGAGTTCCTATCACTGTAAGAAATGGCTGAGAGAAACAATTTTAAGGGAAGAGGAGTTGATTTTGACACAACAGACGAACTGCCTTACTTTGGGCCTGAGGTGAGCAGAATAACATGGCAACAGGAGTATGTGGCAAAGATAAGGAACACACACACACACACACACACACACACACAGAGAGAGAGAGAGAGAGAGAGAGAGAGAGGATGCTCTCACTAATAGATATCCTTCTTCCCTTTTATTCTACAATCATTGCCCACTCTTTAGGGTGATGGACATTCAGGCAGGCCTTCCTCCACTTAGTTTCCCCTTCTATAAATGCAGACGCAATTAGAAGTATGTCTTACTAGATACTTTTCCATCAACCAAGTTGAACCATCATGGAGCCCCAGGGATATACTTTCACTTCTACCTCAAACTTGATATACTATTTTGCGTAGTGTGTGCCCCACACATACACATCTATCACAAGAATGAATGAGCATCATGTTAATATGTGTGGGATGTGCACAGCAGGCAGCAGCGAGGAGAAGGTAGAACTGAGATGCAGACTGTAAATGGGAAAGGAGGGAAGCAAATGCACGCAGAAACTACAGTGTTACGTTGCCTCCTCCTATTTTATTTCTACTGGTCTTGCCTGAACATCAAAACTACATCCTCTGGGACACTTCTGCAAGCTATGATTTATACCCATAAATAACTGATAATATGTTTAAAATTGTAGTTCAACTCATGTTTGGGTTTTGCAAAGCTATCACATATACAGATATACATAGTAAAAGTGTACAGATATTATTTATGAATTACAGTTATTTCGAACTGAAAGCCAAGTAAATGTTCATCAAAAAATGAGTAGAGCTGAGTAGCTAGTATGACAATAAACATCATCTTTAGAAGGCTAAGCTTCCTAAAGCCAAAGTTTTTGTTTTGTCAAACGACTTAGTAGACTCTAAGGAACTGAATTTGGTAGCTAAAATCAGAGGTGCACAAGTGACCACACATGGGCCTAGTGTGGACACAGATGTATGGCACTGACTGACTGAATTAACTGTAGTAGATTTTACTAGTTTATGGAAATAAGAATTTCTATAATGTATTGGCAACTCACAATGTAGGATTGTGGTCATTCAATTAAAAATAGTGTGTTATTTTACAGTAAATTTTATTATTAAATAGGGCTTTCTAAAGGAGAACACTGCTTCCCTAGGGCAGAGTTGAACTGTAATTCTTCTATATTTCCCCAGTTTGCATCCCAGTTTCAGAATTCTCTATTATTGTTTTGTTCACAGTTCATTGATGATTAATACATTATAATTACCATTCAGTATTAATCAGTTAGAAAGTTTACAATTTATGGATATTTAACATCACATATACTTCATAGCCACAGAATAAACTCATTCAAAATCTTGTGTCAAGAAAGTCTTGCTTCTTAGACTTTTGAATACCAAACATTAATTTCTGCTTCTTGATAATAGATATGCCTTACTTTGGTGAGTGTAGTCCTCATTATTCTTTGACTTTGAAGGAGAAATTGAAAAGTAGATTTAGGTACCTGAAATCCAGCCATTCTGGAAGTTATTATTGTACTATCCATCCAAATGTTCTTATTTTTATTTAACTTTTACCTGGCTCTCAGTTGGGCTGAGAAAAATGCCTGCTTTGTTTTTCACACACTGGGGTTTGCTCTTGAGCTGATGTGCTTGTTAAGAGAAGATGGGCAGATGGAGGGATGGGAGATGGGGATTGGCCAGAGTCTTAAGCATTCATTCTATCAAAAAAGATAAAGTCATAGAAAAGAAAATGAACAGAAATCTGGAGAGACAAGTCTAGGCAAGAATGATGAACATAAAGATAATTTTGAGCAGGGAAAGGACACATATACAACACAGAAAATTGTGAACAGAATGTATTGGAACCCTGTAAGATCAGATTCTGCTATAAGAAGTACCAAGTAATTGACATAACCAATTATGCAATAGCACAGTTACTTCTCTACCAACTTTACTTGCAACCTGAAAATGATCATGCCCTGCTTGGAAGGGTGGGTTTCTAAGTGAGAATGTGCTTGAGATGTCTGCGAATTGAAACTAAGACACATAAAAGAGAAGGAAGGAAAAGAAAGGGCCATGCTAAAATTGTACAGGATAGAGAGTCAAACTGACCCAGCAAACACTCACAACTCATGCTTTCCTTTTGCTTTGTTGACTTTTAAATCCCTGAATATGGCTCTGTGCTTCTCCAGCTCCCTCTACATCCCTGTTTCACATCCATGGTGGTACCTTTTCACCTCCCTTCAAATGATCCTTTACTTTGTTATGTTCTGAAGAGGAATTTAAAAGAATGATGGTGAGAATCATGTGGTTTGTGGCCAAGTAATAACACTATTTGAATGTACTTAACTCCTTCTCTCAACTATGTAGGGCAGTTTGAAGGAAAGAATAGACAGGAGGGGCAGTTCTTAATAGAGAACTGTATAGAAAGATATGTACTGCTCTCTCCTCACTAGGTCTTACTATCTAACTGCTCCAGTTATTCCAGATGAAGATTTATTTTAGCTGAACAAACTCTCACACTCCAAGATCTCAGAAACTCTAAAACAGTGTTCTCATCAATCATCCATGGGTAAGTTTTGATTTTTCTAGCTTATCTGTAACTAGTTTCCTTTTAAAGAATAATTTAAAACCAAACATTTTACTTATGTAGCATAATATATTTTAAAAAAAACAACCAAACAAACCCAGAACAAAGGCAAATCATTTATCTCCTGATTTAGTAAAGTCTCTATTACTTTACCCCAAAATTCTTTTCAAATTTCCTCTACTCCTGGAATGGAAGAGAGAATAGAAGAGAGAAGAAGATGTATGTTTGGTTCCATTGATGGATACTATTAAAATATATGGAATTTCTTTTTATTTTTATTCTCCTTTGCCTTCTTGCTAGGGAAACTTCAAATTCCACTATGCAATAAATATGAGTAAGTGCACCTGTGCAATGCATATAGTGCTCCAAGAATTTGTCTGGCAAAGAACCAATGAGCTATTTTATAAAGATCATCTTTCAGGGCCAGTGTTCTCTGCACTATACCCTGAACGATAAAGCTCAGGTTTTATATGGGTTAACTGGGTTAACATCAATTCTTAGTCACTGATCAACATACTGTTTTTTTTGTTTTCTTTTTCTTTTCCTTTTCATTCCCCCTCTCTCTCTGTAGGTGTGTGTGTGTGTGTGTGTGTGTGTGTGTGTGTGTGATTTCCATCATTTTGGAAGGAGGTATCCAGAGAGAACTATGTGGTGTGAATTAATTACATCTACTATTCTTAACTATTTTGGTGTTATTCCATATTGACAGTTATGCTGACTAGTTTTTTTGTAAACTTGACACAAGCTAGAGTCATCTGAGAGGAGAGAATCTCAGTTGAGTAAATGCCTCCAAAAGACCATGTTGTACACAGGCCTGTAAGGCATTTTATTAATTAGTGATTGATGGGGAGGGTCCAGCCCATTGTGGGTGTTACCACCCCTTGGCTGGAGGTTCTGGGTTCTGTAAGAAAGCAGGCTGAATGAGCCATGAGGAGCAAGCCAATAAGCAACATCCCTTTTTGGCCTCTCCATCAGCTCCTGCCTCCAGATTTCTACCTGGTTTGAGTTCCTGCCTTGGCTTCCTTCTGTGGATTTTGACTTGGCATATGTAAGCCAAATAAACCTGTTCTTCCACGAGATTCTTTTGGTCATGGTGTTTCATCACAGGAAGAGAAATCTAAGACAACGGTCAACTCAGTGGTCAAGCCCTAAAGAGAGTCTGTGACTAAGATTATATTTCAAGCCAACTTATTTTCCCCTTTATTTTATTAATTCATAGGAAATGACATCCTTACTTACCATTACCCAGTTCCCAAGAAATGTTGTACTTTTTGCTGGCACTGTACTTCAACAGGCTCAGGGCACTAGAACTGTTCCAGGAGTTATTGGGATTACGACGCAGTGCATTTAGAGCAAATATCAGGTGGAGTCCAGAGCAATCAGCAAAGTTATAAAGTTTGTCTAGAGACCTGGCTGGGAAGAAGCAGAGAAAGGCTTATAACTTTCAAATCTCAACAAAAGGAAAATATTAGCTTCTACAGAAAGCCTTCCCTGCTAGTAAGGAACTACACAGACAAGCTTCTAAAAGAGAGTATTACCTTCTGACCTAGGATGCACTTTGAGGTGATTTGGGGGAGACAGAACTCAGAATTTCAGACAGAGCTTGCAAACTGGCAACCATGCCTAGCTCCCAATGTATTTGCTTGTTAATAAATGGTGCAATTGCTGACACTGAAGAGAAGAGGGTTTCCCATACTAGCTGGGTTTCTAGATTCAGGGGGCAAAAATATCAAAAGTTCTAGTACTCTCAAGTTTATATTCACGCTTGATTGACAGTAATCATGTCAAGGTACAAAGTCACAAAAGACTAGCTGGTCAGTCTTAGAAATAACTCAGATGACCAAGAATTCCAAAGCATTTCACTCTGGACTACATTTCTAGTATGTTTGAGATGGAAATTCTGTAATGATTTTACATATATATATAATTATCAGCTCAAACTCAGAACCAATGACTAGATACCAAATATCTCATATCCACCCCATTCCTTCAGTTTACTCCAGCAACTCATGTCTGGTTCTCATTTCCATTTACACAGATTGGTGCAATGCCCATTTACTTCAAGATTCATTCCACTCTGTCAATCATCTTCTCTTTATTACTGTCATCAGTTTCTCTCACTCCCGAAGGCCCCAATCAGTTTTCAATACCAGGGAGTGTCCTGCAAGATTCTCTCTTCCAGATATGACAGGGAAGCTACCCACTAAAACTCAACAATAGGCTGCTTAAACAGGAACTGAATGATGACAACAGCAGTTGACATGACAGTGTGGATGGCTCTGAGACATGACTGCTGCCCTACCCCTACATGAAGAACTACAGGCTCTGACACAAGACTTCTGAGGAAAGGAGGATGTGTCTTTCTCAGGAAGGAGCCCTTAAGTGACTATCTGGTCTCATGTTGAGCTCTAGAAAACACACACATAAGCAGTATGAAATGGACCCAGGGAGTTTCACTTATATATTTACCACATACATATGTAACAAGTAGAATTTCTAAAAAGAAGCCTTGAGTTTGAAAGAGTGTGTTGGAGTGGTGCATGGTGGGGATGGACTAGAGGGGGGATATGGTGTGATTATATTTTAATCAAATTTTTAAAGGAGGAAGAAGTAGAAGAAAATAGATTCATCTAATAAATTTTGATTTTGGTTTTAAAGAACAAGGGCAGACTCTGTTTTTGCACTTAGCAGAGCCTCATCTCAACACTGGAAACTTGTGATAAGACTTCCAGGCCTTCATAGGGCAGATATAAGAAAGACTGACAAGGAAATTTTCAAGAAGAAAAAACTCAATATTTTTTTCACTATCCATTGTGAGGAAAGTGAAGCAATACATAAGAATAGGCTAAGGAACTATCGAAATTAAACACATTTTAAAAGAAAACCATCATCATTTAAAAGACCATAGGCAATAATTGTCAGATTGTACCTACAACCAAATAATTACACTATCATGCTTTGCTTTTGATAAAATAATTTTATCTAGAGGTTCTCTGATACCTGAAAATTATTATAGGTTACTCCAAATAGTTTGAATATTAAATGATCAGAAGAGGACCAGTGTGAAGTCCTTTGATATATGTGCCACAAAACTTCAATTATGTTGACAGGAAAATCTTTGTTCATTCAAACTCTTTATACTTATAACGACCTTTAACAGATTGTCAGCTACACAATGGCAGATGCTTATTTTTATGAGTTTTAGTTTTATTCACAAAACAAAAGTTTCCATAAAATAAATCCTAATAGAATATATCAAAATTTAGTATAAATGGCTGGTAGTGATTTTAGACAAATAGATTACCTTTACTTAAACTTTTCTGGAAGTTATTATGTGTACCTTAGTGTTTCAGGTATATTAGGCAAATACATACCAAACATAAAAGCACCTCAATCTGTGACCTCATAAGTTTATGGTTCAGAACAAGGTAAAAATAATCTATGAGAAGATCAGTTCAAAGTAAAAATATAGAATAATTATTTAGAGTTTGTGAATCATGTAAAAGTTGAGAAATAGAATGCTAAAAGCTTAAGAAAAACATTATTAAGAATTTTAATCTGACTTCTTCCATGAAGTCCCTCAAGTCTAGCACTGTATCTCATTGTATCCTTCTGATAGACTAATCATCTGGCACATATTAGTTTATGCCACACAGTCATCTTGAATAGTTCTTACGACCCTAATATTTTATGTTACATAAAAATGTGAACAATGAAAATGAAAGAGGTTGAACAGAGATAATAATTATTGCTAATTTAAGAAATGCACTCTAAAGTGCATTAGAGAAAAGCATGTATTTGAGTGCAGAGAATTTAGTAGACATTTAACAAATGCAACTTTCCTTAGAATACTCTCCCCTCCCCGCCAGGATTCTTCCAAACAAGTAAATACTTAAAGCTGACTTTATACTCTCTCCACCAAAGTGTACTAGTGCCTTGATGTGCCCTGCATTTCACAAGAATTGAATTTTAAGGAGCACCATTTTATTGGTTAGTAAAAGGCAGTGGAGTTACAGAAATATCTAAGCATCAATAGGCTTGGAACTCTTCCAAGCAATGCTGAGAGTCAGTGCTCTGAAAGTTCTCAAGACTTCTGGAGAACTAAAGACTGAAAGACGACTGAATCTTTTTTGAAAACATGTCTACATACAATACACACAAGGTTCAAAAGAATCTGTGGGGAGAAGGAGAGCAAGAAAAAACAAAACCTCAAACAAATAAAAGACAGAAGTTCAGTCTTTAAAAATCATAAAGAAGAAAGTTGCAAAGCAGTGCTTACAATGTTCCTAACTGCTAGTAACACAGAGCAACAAACAGACAAGGAAAAGGTGGGGTGGAGAGCCACGGAGTTCATCAGACAGGGGACTGGAGGACAGACTGAGGGTCAAATGGAACACTCAAAGAATATAGAGATGGAGAGCAAAGAATAGACTCAACTCACTTGTTCAAGTCCTATGGTAATAAAAGAACAGAGAAGAACCTGGAGTTGATTTTCTTAAATTCAAGATGCAAAACCCTGTTTTTGTCAAAACACCATTTCTTCCCTGAGACTAGCCTTTGCTTTATGCTTGGGATAGACAGATAAATATCAATGAATGCAAATGATTGATGATTTCTTAGGCTTCCACACTTAAGAAACAAACCAGACAAAGAACAATTTGATGAACAACCAAAACAAAATAGGACACACAACTCATTAAGTTCTAGGAAACCACCTTCCTCTCATTTTCTTCCCTAGCTATGAGCAAAACAGGCAACAGTCCTTGCTTCCTTGAAATCATGGTTAGTGTGGCCGGTGGGAGAAATAACAATGTAGGGGGAACTAGAAACAGCAGAAGTTGGCATACTACTTTAAACAGGCATCATTGAGAAGGCAACAGTGGAGCAGAGATGTGACATAGGTAAGGGCATGAGTCAAGGGGCTAAATATAGAAGAACTTCAGTGCAAACGCTATAGAAAGGGCAACATGGCATGGCAGGTATGAGAATGACAAATGGGGGAAGGAGCAGGGGTCAGTATGGCTGCCCCAGAATGAGTGAGAATAGTAGGAGACGAGGTTACAGTGAAGCAGGACCAGGTACAAAGGGCCTTACTGGCTGCTGTAAGAACTTGGGCTCCACCCTCAACAGCTCAGGGAACACTAGAATCTTTTGAACACAGCCCAGTTTGCATCTTAAAAACACTGGTACTTGGCCAGTAGACAGTCCCAGTTAGTAAAATGATTGCCATGCAAGCATGAGGCTTTGGGACACCAGCACCCATCCAAAACACTGGGCAAGGATACATGCAACTGCAATCCCAACCCTAGGGCAGCAGAGGTGGGAGAATTCCTAGGGCTTATTGGCCAGACAGCCTAGCTGAATTGGTGAGTTCTAATTTCACTGAAACTATAAGGTGGAAAGCAATTAGGAAGATACACCATTTGGACCTCTAGCACCCGCACACAGATACACACACACACACAGGCACGCACACGCACGCATGCACGCACACACACACAGGCACGCACACGCACGCATGCACGCACACACACACATGCACACGCACGCATGCACGCACACACACACACACACACGCACATCACTGGTTTGAGCTGAAAGAGACTATAAGGGGTGAGAAGAACAGCATATGTTTATACTTGGCCCAAAGAGTTTCAAGACACTGGAGTTTGATCAAATTCGTGCTCTTAGAGAACTCCTACCTTCCTTTGATAAACTACATTTTCTCAAGTCCCGTATTTTTACAGGCTTGTTGACTCTGTCTCATATGTCCTTCCTCCTCATCTCTTCACTTTTCATAGCAAGATCAATGGTTTCCAGTGTGGAAATGTCTGACTTTTCTGACTTGCCAAGTAGAGACATTGCATCTCTGTTCTGTCTTGGCTCTTCATCTGTTTCTATTATAGAAATTAGCTAATGAGGCTTATTGTTCAGCCCTGTCTTTCTCTCTCAAGGCAGAGTGGAGTATTTGTTCTACCCTTTTAGCATCAATTCAGTATCTGGTACACAATAAATCTTAATAAACACCTGACTTAACAATGTTGTTTATTATTTGTACCCTAGCTATCAAAACTCAGTTATCACTGTTCATTGTAGCAAATGTCCTCCAGGTCACCCTACTGCTAAACACTGTTCAATGCACTAAAAAAATAGACTCATTGTTTTAAGTTTCAATTTAGAACAAATAATACAGCCGAGCCCTAGGCAGTCATCTGATAGAGGTTTTAAATAGAGAGAAAGCAAGAAAACGAGAAAAATGTGAAAGAAACTCAGAGTGAGGCATACTAGAAACTGCCTATTGAAATTCAAAGAAGCACACCAGTGAAATTTGAAACCATTTGGCTTGGCAAGTACAACCAACAGGGGGCATTTAATTGCAGCTATTAAGAGAGAAGTTTGAAAATTGCCTAGGA